TCTGTATTTCCAAGACAGAGCAATGGAAATGTTTACCAAAATCTCAGTGTAAATGGGCTGGAGTCTCTAAAACTTACAACTTTCTGCAGGACCTCTTAAGCAACTTAAAACTAAGTGAAAAACTACCAAGCTTGATAGCAAGTAAAATTTTGAAGTCCTGCTGTGAAAGCGGGAAGGGAAATGAATTAGCTTTCTTCTAGATGTTCCTCGTGGGTGAAATTCAGTGTTTCTGCTCCCTCTGCAGTGTCAGACAGAATGCATCTGGGGAAGGAGGTTGTGCCTTGCCGGAGGGATGGAGCCCACCTACAAGTGTTAATTGTGCCTCAGCCTCCTCCACCTTTATGTCCTGTTTGCAATTTGGTTATAAGAGTCACTGCTTTCAGATACTTCTAGGAACTTATATTTTAATGTATCTTTGAGTAATGAAAGCTCCAGCTGGGAAATGCTAGGAGAAGTAAGCCAGAAGAAGCAAGCTGCCAGGACTGCTGGGACTGAGAATGAAACATCCCAGCCTTTCCTAGGGACCTTCTTCCATAGATATTTAGAGAAAACAATGGTTGTACTCAGAGAAAACCGTAGCTTCCTGGGGCTGATCCGTCATTAGAATTAATTTGCCTCTTGCAGAGCTCATTGCTGGATGGAGAGGCTGTGATTTGTTAGATTTACTTAATCTTTAATGTTACTATTTTGGGATTTTGTGAACAGTTTTCCCACATTTTGCCTTTAGGGATGCCTCTTCATCCCAACGCTTGGCTGTGCAATATAGTTGTCTTTCTGATGGTGTTTATACAGCTATGGCTGCGGCCTGAAAAATACGAGCATCTGTAATTAGGCTCGCATAGTGTGAGCAAACAGATTTTTAGAAGTGCTGCAAAAAAACAGAGAATTAGGCAGCCATTGCAAGAAAACTCATGGTCTGTCATTTTATTCAAATTGTATTTAATGTCGGTCTGAGAAGTGCTCAGTGCTACAGTGATGACTGTGAGTTTTGTGTCCTGTGGCATGTATGAAACCTCGCAGTCCCTGCAGCTGGACTCCCTGGGCATTAAGTACACTTAGGGATCAGGATTCCCAGCAGTACTTCTAGTCTTTCTTGCACAGTAATATGATTTCTTACTATGACTCGGTTCTTTGGAGAACGTGGCTGGCAGACTATTTCCTATGAAACATGATGTTGGTGTTCTTCGGGTTTGGATGAGCAATGATAATTCACCTTCAGTGGAAGCACAGTTCCTCTGGCTATCCTTATCCTCAGCAAACATGTTCTGAGATGCTGGGTGATAAAACATCTGTTTTCTAAGCTTCTTTTGTTGCACCCTGCTGTGAAATCAGCTATTGTTTTTAAGCATTAATCATATCTGTGCTCCTTCCCATATATTCTGATGCTACCGTGCACGCTACAAGGGGATTTCTCCCTCTGAAGTGCTCTGGGATCTTTGGCATTTGTTTTCAAGCAAAATCAGCAGCTGGCATTGAGGTAAACGATGCATTTGCAACACACTATTTCTTCCCCTAGGTTTGAATAGTGCTTCAGCTCAGCCAGAATTTTCTGAGATGTACTTGTAGGGACAGATTTTCAGGCAGAATAAACTGACACAACACATTCAGGAGATTTACATCCTCCCAGGAGCTTGTTCTTTGTTTCTTCACTGCCTGCTTTCTTCTTTTCAATGCACATTCTTTTCTTTCACAGATCATTTTCTTACCATTGATGATTTTTCCTTAAAACTGCTTTTAACTGATGTAAATCACATCATCATTCAAACACTGATATTTCTTGCACTTAAATATATCCTGCTGTATTTTGTACTAACAGAAACATGGCTCTGGAATTTAAAAAGCATTGATTATATTGCATAAGGAAAATCAAAATGTTGAAGACTGAGAGACAATAATGTGATGGTTTTTGGCTGGTTGGTTTAGGTTGTTCTAGGTAAGCTTCCTTCTTTTTAATACTGTGAGTCTGAATGCCACTGCTGTTGGAAAGGTCTTTAAACACAGTATTACTACAACTGACTTGGGAAGTCCCTGACCATTTCACTTGCCAGAGACTGAGAGAGAATATCCAGGAAAGGACCTTGGTACACTTGCTCTGATTCTATTTCTCCCTAGGCTTCTGCTGCACACCACTGTTGCAATCCACATACCAGCTCAGTCCTCCAGCCTTGCATTTTTATATTCAACTGTCTTATTTCCCACTGACAGTCTCCAGAGCTAGACCCTGATGAGAATAAGAAGTATTTCTGACATGTACTTGCTAAAAAAAAAAAAAAAGCTGATTATTTCAGTTAAAAAAGCTCCAATTGGTCTTGTTACATCTCAGCCGTGCAATTCTGGTGGGAAGAAGAGGGAAATACTAAATATTGACTAGTTTGCCTACTGTCCTCAGGACCACTTTGTCCTCGAGCTTAACTGCCACAATCTTCTCTGCGTTCAGTTTTCCATTACTTGGAAAGGACAGTCTTTTCTGGGGGTCTCTGTCATTAATACTCTGACAGACATTCTTTGCAGCATGATGACTTACCCTTGAATTCTGGCCTTATCGAGACATGCCCTCCGGTTTTAATAATTTATGTTTGTTAAGTTCTGTTTTTAACTTCCTAAGCAGGCTGCTGTTGATTTTTATGTGCACCTTCTGTTTGTTCTTAGAGTTTTTCTCATTGCTTTGGGAAATGACCTAGGGAGGATTTTAATATCTCAGTTAATTTCAACAGACATCATCTTATGTTGCTTCCATTCTGCCTGCAGACTGGATACAGGACTAACATTGCTCTGCCTGTGTAATGCACATACTAAGAACTGCAGACATGCAGATGTTATCCTTTGCTGTCATGCTTTCTGTAGGTTGTGTGTACATTACGAAGTAATTCCTGAACACTTCTACTGCTTTTTCAGTGCAGCGGGACAACACGGCTTTCAAGCACAGCTACTTAGTCCTCCTCCTGTATGGAGCTGTAAGCTGGGGATGCAGCTAGGAAAATGATCTGATTAAACAGTACTTCTTTATAGCAACTTTTATAACATAGCAAGCTGCATTTTTGCACAACTAATGCTAAGCATTCCAAATGCCTTTCTGAATGGTGAGCATGGCTTTAAACAGTTCTGTGAAGTCATCTTGTTTCTTTCTGTTAGCACTATAAACTGTGCCTGGATTTGTAGTGGTTTATCTGTATTTCCTACTCATGTTCTTCTGGGGAAGGGAAGGCTTGTGCACATTTACACATTTCAGGGGATCTGTTTTCCCAAAACAATGCTGTTTACCCTGAACTTTTTTAACATCTATTTACATTTTCTTATGATTCTGGAATAAGGTACAGATTTATAAGATTATATAAATATAGAAATTTATTTTGGATCTTCTGTAAGCCTAGGTTTAAGGGCTATCCGGAATTGGGATCTTAAGAAAGTCAGATTTGGAATGGGTCTGAACTGTAATTGATTCTTTGCTCATGGCAGCCCCCTGTGACCTTCCTTAGATTAAATTGTTTTCTGAGGAACCAGAGAACTGCTGCTATATGGTTCTGCTATTTGAGAAGGATTACTACTGCTATATCAGTCCTGGATGTTTGTTTGTTCTTTCATTAAAATTGATGCACCTCTCCCTACAAAAGTTTTGGACATGATCTGAATCTCTGTTGAAGGTCTCCCTGAAAGGATTATACACTGGTTAAAATTGATATTAAATGTCTTAGTATCAATTTATCATAATCCTTGAAAGCCATTTCAGCTTTGTTCCTACTCACCAAGAGTATAACTCACTAACTTTATCACCAGATGAGTGGGCTGCGGCCCATCCTTGCTGTCCTTATTCAGAAGCTCTTGAAAGCTGGAAAAAATACAACAAACACTATCCCAAGTACTGCCTCAGCCACAGAGTTGGCTCTAGCTTAGAGAAGAAAATGGTGCAATTACCATGTATACTGGCAGCCAGCAAAGCACTGACTTTCAGTGGAGCTTACTTTAATGTCTCTAGCAGAGGTAATGAATTTATGTTAGTAACAAAGACTGACCTGACACTACACTTAAGCCTAAGTATTACTTTGAATTTTCATATGCTAACTGCAATTTTTGATTCTAATGGGAAATGATGGTGGCACTTCAAAAGTAACATTAGAAAAGTTTAATAGAATTTTGGACCTCCCAGTATAAGGAAGTCCAGGAATTTTCATTCAAAAAACCCTTTTCCCTTAAGATTTCAGGACCAGCTGTGCACATCATAGAACTTATGTAAATATATGACATTGTCACAACGTTCTTTAGAGTAAGCCCTGACTTCAATTTAGAAAAAGAGCTTTTTTGTCTTTGAATTACCTTTGGATAATTTATTTTTACTTGTCATTTCAGTAATGAAACGAAGTTTCTATATTGTCTAAATTACTCACACTTTTTGAAATACTCAGAAAAGTCCCAGAAGTTCCCCTGAAACAAAACATGAGAAGAATGGATCCTGCTTTCTCACCACAATGAGCAAAGTCTCCTTTTTTCTTCAGAGTTGGCTTCTCCTTGATCATCCGTGTATAGTGTCAGAGATAATATAATGGGTGGGGTTGTCAAAGAAAGAAGTACATTCTTCTTAATGCTTTGAGTTTAAACCCAAACAACTGAATTGCATGGCAACAAGATCATCTGCTGTGATTCAAAATGTGCAGAGAAGTACCAATAGAGGAAGAAAAGGTCAGTTTATGGGCAAATCAGCAACTCCCAGCACGCTCAGAGATGTCCCCTAAAGAGTTCAAAGTGCTTCCTCCAATGCACAGCCTATAAGCCATTGCCTGTGTCGGGAGGGCAGCAAAACACACACACATATATGGTCTTGAGCCAAGGAAGCACTTAAACATATGATAAGTCCACCTGTACTCAGGTAAGCACTTAAGCCCATACTTAATATGCCCCAGGACATTACAATACATAAATATCTGCAATTGGTACTTAACTCAAAAGCAATATAATTAATTTATATAGGCTCATGCACATAGGAAAATGTAAAGATGAAAACCCACCATATTCTGGGACCTGGCCTGTTCCACGTTTCAACAACAGTCGCACTCTCCTGCCACCAGACTTGATTAGCTCTATTGCTCTGGCGTGTGTCATGTCCCTTGTGCTTTCTCCATTGATTTCAATTATTTGATCTCCTACCTGTCAGGTAAGAAGAATATTGAGTCAGACAGAATTGCAGTAAAATGAGCGTTTCAGAAAGAGACATATTCAATGGATCACAGGTTACTTGAATGACAGACAGACACATCAAGGTAAATTTGTTCCTGTCTGTGTGAGGGATATTACTGGCAGATTAAATAACCTCCAAAGTGGATTCTGAATGTGGTATATCAAATGCTGCTTGTCTTCTGCCGAAATCAGTGTAATGCATTTGTAACTTGCCTCATGTCTTCTACACGTAAGAGGTTTTTTTTGAATTGCTTGATATGTTGGAATCACTGGAAATATTATCTGTGCTACACTTTAACTTGTAGTGTTGTATGGGCCCGAGAAGACCTTTGCTGCATTTAACTTACTGTTTTCATAGAGAAAAAAGAGGTTCAAAGCACAAATACAAAGATCCATCGTTTGAATATCCAAATCTTGGTAGCAAAGTTTTATACCAAATCAAGAGTTATGAAGCAAGCTATTAAACAAAGAAAAGTTAGTGGCTATGGCACAGATCACACAGATTTGCTGGAGTATTTACAAGAGCATGCTTTGAACTATTTATCCACAGAAGATTTTTGCTTGGAGTAAGCACAGCCCCTGGCTGAGCCATCTAGTTAGAGCGGTGGACTCCAGGGCTCTGATTACAGATTTCTGCAAGTCACCTCCTGGCCGGCTTTCCTGTCAGAGTTAGCTTCATTATTATTTTTCTGCCTCTCTTTCTACAGCCGTAAAATGGGGCACTGTCTGTGTCTCCCATCCACCCCGATCTCCCTCCCAGCTTTGCGTCCCACTGGGATGTTTTGGTTCTGCTCTTCTCTCCATGAGAAGAGCCGCTTTCAGCACTGGAAACCTTCTCAATGAATAGGGGAGCGATTGCTTTCCGCTGTGCCTCGTCGGCACAGCAGACAGCACATGTAGTAAGCAGCAGCTGTACAGCGTGTTTGGTGCTGCAGTACCACAGCCACCCACTTATTTTGTGAGACAGTTAACTGAGCAACGCAGTGAGGCGATGTGTGAGCCTTGTGTTAGCAGCACCACGCAGCCTTTGGAGTTCATGTTTTGCAGCTGCGTTGCAGAAGCCTCCCAGCCCCATCGCAGGGGTGACCCAGGTGAAGCCCAGAAGGAAGGCTGATCTTCTGGCGCTGGTAGAGGTGCATGTCCAGGTGATGGGCAGCCAAGAGGGGTGCGTGAGGGTCTCAGTTGAGTGGTTTCAGCAAACTCGTTTATCAGTGCCAGAGGAGCACATCTGCTCGGCAGGATCTGACCTGCCTCGGTCTGCATCTACGGCTTCCTCACCGTGCATATCCACTACACTAAAATAACAACGCTGCATGCATCCTAGAGAGGGTTTTAGGGAGACTATAGAGATTTCAAGATGACGGGCACTTCCTTTTCCTCTTACAAGCCTGTCTTGACAAAACCAGCTCTTTGTTGGCCTTAGACATTGAAATGTTTTCTGGTTTGTATGTTTTCCTTGCTACTATTGTATTTCTGTCAACTAAAAGTGTAATCCTTCAGAGGCTTTCCTTCCTTCCTGAGTCTGAAATATAGTATTTACCAAACAAATGTGCATAATATAAAATGTCAACAAGACTCCTAGCATCCATGAAAACTGGAAGGGATGTCAAGAAGTTGTCTAGTCCCTACTTTTGTTCAGAGACAGAAAGAATGCCACTAAAAGCACTGTGGCAGTGTTTCTCAGTAGGAATTCATACCTTGTCAATAGGAGTTGCAACCTATTTTAAGAACTCTCCGAGGGTCGTGTATGCAATCTATGACAGTACTTTACTTAACTAAAAAGCCATTGATCCAAATAAAACCTCTCAGCCTTGCTATCACACTTTTTAAATGATGCAGACTGAGCAGTGGGGGAAAAAATTGGCATTATTTTGTGCAAAAAGGCCCTATTTTTGCAGTGCAAATTTCTTCCTTAGCGGATTTTCTCTGTTAAAAGGAATGTGTTTGGTTGTACCATGCACTACGCATTTTTAGACACTTCTGATGAAGTGCCACAGGCCACAGTGACACACAATGCAGGTGCTCTCTGGATTGTGGAGAGATTGCCCCTGGGTTTGGCTGTGCAGGGCTTTCTGCATCACCCTGACTTTTGGAGCAGTTGGTAGGATGTTGTTGCTGCACACACTCAGAGCAAAAATGGAAAATCTCTCTTACCACTTCTGTAGCACAGACAGAAGGTGGATTTGTAGCATCCCCACAAGGACACTAGTCAGGCCAAATACAGACAAAATTCAACCAGTTTGGGAAAACCTGTTTCTAAATGTCATGAAACAATTAAACTCTGGTAGAAAACCTATAAAAGTAAACTCAGACTTTCCAAAGCCTTAAAGACAGCTCTTTTTTGTGTCATGTTGCCTGGATAGACCATGTTTTGCAGAAGGTACTTAAAATGATCTTGTTAGCATGTTTTGAGAGAATAAGCGCCAGATTAGATCAAATGAAGGAGGTGTTTTTAACACTCCTTGACAAATAACTGTTAAAATGAGTACTGATGAAAGCTGTTCAGAGCACGCACAGTCCTTCAGATAAAATCCTCTGCACTCTGGAGCAGAAAGACAGAAAGAGATTTTAATACAGTTTAATATGTAAAAAGGTTAAGCTAATGTCACATTTTTCCCTTGCTGTTTGCTTTTCTTCTGTTCTCATTGGTCAATATGCAAGAACTATCTTGTATTAATGTAACCTTTTCTGTATTTCAGTGGATTAAAATATTTTTTTCTCTGAAGGCAGCATGTAGCTGATTTGATAGTTCCCGCTTTTAATATAAAATCTCATGCGCAAATAACTTGGGAAAGCTTAAAAAAGCCAGCATCTTGGTTATGTGACCAAAGGAGGGGAGAGAAACAAGTTTGAGAAAATTCGATACTCAAATTTACATCAGAAAAATGTGATGTGTGAGACCGGAGTTAAAATGAATAGTTGCAGGAGCAGTGGGTTAATTGTGTTCCATGCATTTGTGTCTTGTGGCTGACTGATGCATAACTGAATTATACTGCCTTTGCAGCACAAGCCCAGCTCTGATTAGATAAGAAAAACAACACAGAAGAGAAAAGTTGCCAACACTCTTACCCTGAGAAAAGCTTCAATTAGACTTTACACCCATATCTGGGGAATTCATACAAAAAAGAAAACCTTGACTGAGGAGTGGTTCCCCATGTGTCTAATAAGGTACAAATTCCTATTATTATTTTTTCTGCAGTTAAACATGTATAACCTTCCCTTCCTTCCCCTTGCTGATGTAGATTCTCTGATGTCTGATATGGGAGGAAACCATGCTGCATGCTTTCTCTCCGTCCAGGCATTCAAATGTGCTCGCTCTCTCCTCTTTTCTATTGTGGAATGGATTTTTAGATATTGTGGGGCTATTTCTGTCTTTTTTGAATCCAGTGACTGTTTAAGAGGAGCTTAGATATATCCACATATTGAAGATGCACCAAGGTGAGGCCAGAGGTAATGGTAAGCATAGAAACAGGTCCGAAAAGAACCCAGTGCCTATTACATCAGATACTCATTACTCTCTTTTCAGGATCAAAAGTTGACTCCTGCAGTTTTATACCACACATGACATTTCTCTATATTTCTCTTCTGGATCCTTCCAAGTTTGTCAGCAGTCTCCAAACTGGAGATATTACTAAGGTGGGGTGTAGGCAGAACAGATCAAAATGATAACATTTCTCCCATGTGGGAGAAACACTTATTAATAATGTTCCCAGAATGAGACCTTTGCCTTTTTGTAACACATCAGATTTGCGACTCACAGTTAGCTTGGATTCCGAGATTATCCCCAGCAGTACTGTCTAGACAGTTATTCCCTATTTTACATTGTGCATTTGATTTCTCTGCCCTAAACTGAGCACAGTGCACCTCAGTGAATTTTATCAGATTGACTGCTTTAGTATGATATTTTCATTTTGAAATCTAAGTCAGTTCCTCAAAGACCTTTTAAACCCTCTATGAATAGTGACATCTTGGCATCAGCAAATTTTATTTTATTATTTCTCAATAGGTCTCCAATTATTAATAAAATTATTGAATCTAGCTGGTTTCACCCCATATCCCTCAGAACCACACTTTTAATTTCGCACTTGTATTTACTATTCAGGAACAAACCATTCAGAGCAGCCTTTGAGAGGGATTATTTTCAGTAACCACATTACAATGATTCCACCTAAAGTTTATTTCCCCATCCTGTTTCTGTGAATTTCATACAAGGTGGGGTTGAAAGGTGAAAAGAAGATGTCTCATACATTCTCCTTCCCCTTTTCCACAAATAAATCAAAATGAAAATCAGAAATAAGAAATGAAAATTAGGCTGATATGACAAGATTTGCTTCCCACAATTTACATGTTGCTGGATTTTTTCAACTTTTTGATAACTTGTTGCAGATTATTTCTGTGAATGAAAGTTTAAGGAACTTTTCTCTATTATTTGACTTTAAAAATTGGGAATATGTTTTCCTTTCTCTAGTCTGCTACTAACTTTCTTGTCCTTCATGAATTCTTGGACATAATTACTAATAGTCTAGAAATTACTTTCTCTTAGTCATTGAGCATACATGAACATCAGCAAGTTCAGTTGACTTGAATCTAAGTATGCTTTAAGCAGTTTTCTCCTTATTCTGATTTATACTAATTTCTCTTTGTTAATTTTTAAATAACTTAACAAAGTTTAATAACTTTGTTAATTTTTAAATAATTTAACAAAGTTTAATAACTTTGTTAAGTTATTAGTCTCACAATCGCTAGCCCTTGTTCTCATGGGGGACTTCAACTTCCCAGACGTCTGCTGGAAATACAACATGGCAGAGAGGAAACAGTCTAGGAGGTTCCTGGAGTGTGTGGAAGACAACTTCCTGACACAGCTGGTAAGTGAGCCTACCAGGGGAGGTGCCTCGCTCGACCTGCTGTTTACAAACAGAGAAGGACTGGTGGGAGATGTGGTGGTCGGAGGCCGTCTTGGGCTTAGCTGG